AAATGAAAATAGTGAAAGAAAAAAAAAAAGAGAAAAAGCGGGTTAGAGGAATTGGTGGACTCATCATGCCCATGACCGAAGACTGCAAGTTCAAATCCCGTCCCTGTCTAATCACTTAATCTTTGCGATAAAAATATCTGGCAGAGTTCATTGAACCGGAAGACCCACCCATGCAAAATACAGCTTTGAAGTAGCTTGGAATGTTCACCTTTTCTTCTCTGTCAGCTAGCTTGGAGCGTTTGGAAAACATAAATAATATTTGGACTTAATTTAATGATTTAATTTATTAACTTAATCATTTATATGTGTGAAATTTAAAATAAATTCTAATATTTATTGAGATCTGTAACTAATTTAATGGTTATGAAATTAGATTAATAAATTATGTCCAAATAGTATTATTAGTTAAGAAAAAACTGAATTAAGGAGGTTAATAACTGAATTACCCTTCGGCCTTTAATGTTAGTATGAGATTTGGCCACCAACGGTTTTTTGTTTTTCAATTTTATTAAATTTTTTTAAAAAAAATTCTGATTTTGAATTTTTTTTTTCTTTGTATTATGATTAAACGTACGGTGTCACCGTTATTTTTTTATTTTTTTAAAAATTATTTTGAATTTTTTCCTTCTATTATGTTTAATTGTATAGTGTCATCGGTTTTTTTATTTTTTTAATTTTTTTAAAAAACAATTATTTTGAATTTTTTACTTTTATCATGTTTAAGCGTCTGGTGCTACTGATTTTTTTTTATTTTTTATTTAAAGTGTTTTTTGAATTTTTTCCTTGTATCATGTATAAGTGTGCAGTGTCATCAATTTTTTATTTACTTTTTTTTTACAAATTTTTTCTGCACATACATCTGGAACATCCATATATATCTCTTAATTTTTTTGTGCGATGTCACCAATTTATTACATCAAATTCTTTATTTTTTATGTTGATTTTTTACATTATTCGGAATTTTTTTGGTATGAATTGTCATACCATGTATTATATCAAACATTGTGCAAAAACGTTATACAAACAAAGTAATGAAATGGTTTGGTAAAATTGTATATTTATTATACAAGTCTTATAAGATGTGATAAAATAGATAGTTGTTTGTGGACCCACCATAATACCTATTAAACTAACAAATATGAGAGAAGATTGAATACTTTTTATTACTGGTATTAATTTATATTGCTATTGGAAATGTAAATAATACATTTCTCATTACAATGTATAGCAATCCTCCAAACAAACATGCCCTTAATATATCGTGACCAATGCATTAATGGTTGATCCTAAATTTAAATGAATTTACTTATTGAAAAAAAAAACTTTGAATGAATTTCGTTAGAGAAATACTATTGTCACTTACAAATTTGGTTAAATTTACTTACCTAATGATGTGGTTTTATTTTATTTTATTTTTATCAAGAAAGTTGTATTTTTATTAGGCCTGTCAAAATTCAACAAGACACAATTAACCGACACGAATCGATACGAATTAAGTGGATTTGGGTGAGACCTTAACGGATTCGGGTGATAAACAGATTGACCTGTTAAACACGTTTAATAAACGGGTCGTATTCGAGTGAAACCTGTCAACCCATTTATAATCTGTTTACCCGTTTAAATAAAATTAATATAATAATAAATTAATAATTATTTTTAAAAGAATAGCCAAATTTTTTTTTTAATGACAGCCACATATAAATATATAAAGATATTTTTCCCTAATTCCAAAGTTGAAACCCTAATTCTTTCTAATTTCTACGCTGAAGCCTTCAACTTGCAGCTCCAACTCTTTTGCTTGCTCTCTCTCTCTCTCTCTCTCGCAACTCAGCGAGCAGTTGGTGTTTTGGGCCGGGTTGACGATGGAGACTTCGAACAAAGACATCGAAGGGGGTAAGCTTTTTTTTTTTTCAATTTTTGTTCAATCTTTTCTCTCTCCATATTTTTGTTGAACCTAGAAACATCAAAAACAGAGAATTTAAAACTTCAAATAACTAATATTCAAATTTTTAGTTGTTTTAAAAAAAAAATTATTAACAATTATCTCAGTAACCAGCCAGACATACATGGTATGCAATTCAGTTTTGCGTGTTGGATTGTGAAAAAGAAAATAAAGTAAATGGAAAAAAATGTCACAATCTTAAGTTTCGGGTTGTCTACTCTCTTTTCCAGTTTTCTTCGGTAGAAAGGACATAATTGACTATGGATTTGTTTTCCCATTTACTTCTTTCTTAAGGATATGTAAACAATATTTTCAGACAGTCTTTCGAATCTTATGCCAACTTGTGTTAAGGATTTACTTTTCACTACACTTGCAAAGATTAAAGAGGAAAAGTTGGGAAAAAGTGAATCTAACCCACCACCTTTCTTCTTGTTATTCCATTGGCTTTATTATTATTTTTTTTTTTGGGGGGGGGGGGGGGGGGTGTAGGGTGGGTGCGAAAGTTCTTAGTTTTGGGGAAAAGAGATCACCTTGGTAAAATTGAACTGTCCCTCATTGGAAGTTGGTTAATTTTTTGAAATCATGCATTTTGAATGTCTTAGATTTTGGACTTCTCGTTTTTTTTGAAATTATCATTAATAGTTTAACTGTATATTTGCTTTTTATGAGCATCAGCTCTGTAAAAATTTTGGCATGTGTTTGAGTTGCTAAATTTATGACTGAATCCTGACAACATTTATTTACTATAATGATTCTATCAAATTTCCTCCATATTTTTAATTCTGTTTTTTTAACTCTATTTTTTTCTCTTAGACAGATAGATTCTTCCGAACAAAATATTATAGTTTTTAATGAAGAAAATGAGGTCGGGCATGAATCTAAGGTAGATGTAACTCCAACAACGACATCAACTGGTACAACTACAGAAAAAAGTAAATCTAATCATTAGCGATAAGAGACTTTACTAGTATGAAAATACTTTACAAAATTAAATGAAAACTATCCAGAAGGCAAGAGGCGTGCTGCATGTAGTAATTGTGGTATCAACTTGAGTTCAAGTGGATTCAGGATACTTTATTTGAACTCTTTGAATTGTACGCTGTCAACTTGTCATATGTTGTTCCAAGTACTTCAAATAGTGAGAAAGAAATTAGTGAGATTCATGGTCTTGATGATTCTGAAAGCCTTTTTCTGGTAAAATATAATTTAGTTTGTTTGAATTGAATGCAATCAAGACAGTTTATTTTATATTCTTAATGATTTTGTACACAATGTAAGATTTTGAAAAACGTAAAAAAAAAAAATTTCCTATTTCTCGAGTGACTGAGTTGCAATTACATTTTAATGAAAAAAGACTTGATCGAAAGAAGGATTTGGATATTCTTATCTTTTGAAAATGAGACTAGTTTCGGCATCCTATACTGTCTTGGTTGGCTTGTGATGTGATGACAATTCATGTTTCTACAGTTGAATCTGAATCTGCATTTAGTACCAGTGGTAGAGTTTTGAATAAGTATCGAAGTTCACTTTTGCCTGAAACTGTCCAAACTTTGATTTGTGCTAGAGATTGGATTCATGGAAATAGCAGTAAGTTTGATTTCATCTATACTAGTATTATTTTTCTGATTATCCTAATTCATGTGATCATTGATTTATTTATGTTTTACTGTGCTTAGTTGTAGATGATTCTAGTGATGATTAGGAAGGAAAAATAGATGATGTATTTTCAATCAAAATATAAAGTCTAATAAAGCTAAATTCGTTCAATATTCTAATTCTATATCTATATAGTTTGTAATGTCAAGTTTTTGTTACTTATCTAATTATGAGTCTATTTAATTATTAATGTTATATAATATTTTATTTTAATTTGTGTAGGACATGAGAATTTGGTTGTTAAATCTACTCATTGTCGTAGAAGTGGAGATCTGATCTCTTTCACGGAATTTTGTGAATCATGAAATTTGGTGGTTTGTAATATGATTGTTTTTTTTCACGGGATTTTGTGAATCATGGAATTTGGATATTTGATCTCTTTCACCCGTTTGGGATTGTGGTTTGTAATATAATTGTTCTTTGGTGTAATTGTATTATTTAGGATTGTATTTATAATTTGTAATATGACTGTTGGTGGGATTTGATTATTTTGGATTATTGTTTGCACTTTGTAATATGGTGTGATATTTCTAAATATCACATTTTTTTGTGTTAGTTTGTTAGTTTTATAAATTTACGTAGCATTTTTAAATAAACAGAAAAATAGGTCAAACAGGTGATTTACCGTATTAACCCGACCCTATCAAACACGACTCGTTTAAAATTAAACGTGTTAAACAAGTCGTGGCATTTTATTCGTTTATTAAACGGTTCGTGTTCGTGTGTAAGTTTTTTACTCATTTATTAAACGTGTCGTGTACAAGTTTACATGTTTTTTACTTGTCATCCGTTTAACCTAACACTTTCCCGTTTAACCCGACACGTTTAACATCCCTAATTTTCATTCAAGTTACTGTAAAATAGTTCGAGTCATCATCAACTAATTTCCCCAACTCCACGGCCGGAGAAGGGACCCAATTCAATGGGAGGTATTGATCTAAGTGGGCTTTAGCTAACCAATGTGCTGACATATTCAGAGATCAACACCAATATTTGATGAAATCTACACTTAATTCAAATATCATAATAAATTAGGTCTTAATAGCATTATTTATTTCTTTATCCTTATCAATCCAATCGGCCTCACTTCAATAATCTCGGAATCAAAAATTTTAAATTAGGTACAAGTAGAGCACAGGAGGCTGAGTAAATGTTGATCCAACAGCATAAACACATATGAAGGAAAAGCTGGAAGAAATGAACAATTTTGGACCATTTTCAATTTCCCAACCATCGCCAATTCCAATCCAACTTTACAAGCACCCAATTTACAACTTGTGGAAACATTTGCAGTTTTTTTTCTATGATAACTTGGTCGTTGCGCTAATGAATTAGGTCTCAATAGCATTATTTATTTATTTATCCTTATCAATCCAGTTGGCCTCACTTCAGTAATCTCCAAATCAAAACTTTTAAATTAGGTACAAGTAGAGCATAGGAGGCTGAGTAAATGTTGATCCAACAGCATAAACACATATGAAGGAAAATCTGGAAGAAATGAACAATTTTGGACCAATTTCAATTTCCCAACCATCGCCAATTCCAATCCAACTTACAAGCACCCAATTTACAACTTGTTGAAACGTTTGCAGTTTTTTTTCTATGTTAACTTGCTTGTTGTGCTAATGACCAGAAGACATCTATTTCCTGCAAGCAAGCAAATTTACAGATTTGAATAGAAAAGGATAAATGTTAGACATAAAGTAATCTTCCCCTGGCTCACCGTAGAACCACACTTGTGCAATTTTTTTGGTCTCAAAACTGTAAGAAACAATGGTTCCCGGTGACAGCTCCAGATACAGTACCTGCAAGTCTTCATTAAACGCGCATGGTCGAATTGAAGTCCAAGACCACCCTGATTTCAATTCCACAACCATCACCACCCGCTCGAATCGCCACCTTAAATCGTAGTCCATGGATTCATGCTCAAAATCATCATGATCATCATTGAATGCCCATATATAAAAGCCCTCATCAACTGGATCACAAAGATGTATACAACCTTCTGATTCCCACAAGAGTTGTGACAAGTACACATTTGATCTTGTTCTTGTGGACTTGTTTTTGGGTAATCGAATGAGCTTGAAAAACTCTCTCTTGTCGTCATAAACCAACAAGCATAGGCTCCATATCCAGTACAATCTTCCCCTGCTAAAAACACCAGACCCAAAACACTGTCCGTGGACAAAACCATCTTCGAGTAGAAGACCCGAGTACAAGATTCTTGCTTGATGTTCTGTCCATTCCCAAGTTTGCGATGAGAAAATCTGGCAGTTCATTGTACCAGACATAATATCAACTTCTGCCCAGAAGAAACAGATTACCCTAAACCAATCTTGGTGAATCCCATCAAAAGCAAGACTTGCACAGGCTGGTCTGGAGGTTTTGTGGGCAGGAGGGAGAGAAATATGTTGATCAAGAACTGGGCTAGAGACGTGGTAGGTCCAAAAATGGCCATTTTTTCCGGCATATAGAAGCAAACCATTGCAAGAATCAATTAATGTTGAAAAGCTATGTTTGAAAGATGCATGGAGAGTGCAATCTTGGCCTTGGCTTTGGTCTTGGACCTTGATGAAGATTGATTCATGAAGGGTGGGGTTGTTGTTAATCTGTCTGAGGAAGATGACTAGGCCGGAGGTGGTGGTAGGTGGGTTGGAACGGCGAAGATCGGTGATGACGTTGCACCAGGTCTTTGAGACGATCTTCAACTTTGTGATAGACTTTATGTTGATGCGAGAGAAGATGGACTCTATAAGGTCAGGACACAAATTCCCTAATTCAATCGTCTCTGCGTCCATCTTCTCTCTCTCTCTCTCTCGATTCTTTACTCTTTATCCACCTACGGCAGTCGGGTGCGATAAATATTGAACCCATAAAACTCAAGGTCGGTGCCTTGGACCTTAAGGAACTCTAACACAGAGTCTATGGCGGCTAAACCAAACGACTTTCTTTACCTATGCCTACAAAGGAGAGAATAAAGAGAATAAAAGATGTAACGCACACAAAAAGCGAAAAAAAAAAGGAAAAAGGTGAAGTTCCTTGCTCCTTAGTTTTTCTATACTTTCTTTTTTAAAAGAAATGATTTTTAAATCTAAAAATTTAATTTAATTTATTTACTTAATAATTTGATTTTACTGAAATTATTAAATTAACATCAAATTTGAATATTCGAAGAAACTCACAATCATTTAAAATATTATAGTAGAATAATAAATTTAATCCCAATGACATTGCTTTTTTTTTTTTAAATAATTAAATACTTCCTAAAGCCTAAGGCGGTTGGAACGACCGACCTTCTTCCCTTCCACAAAGATGGGAAAAAAGCCATACCCTTTTTTTGCCGAGAATTTTAAATAATTTCCAATCATTGCGATATATTTTTGTTTTTTTGGGGGGAGGGGTTAGAGGTATCTGTGTGTATTTGAAAATTATATTGTTTTTATTTTTGTATGACGACAAGGCATTATAATTTGTTGATGAGCAATGAATTAGAGATCTTATTTTCATAATTCCTTTAAATTCAGAGTAACATTCTTAGATTAAGCGAATAATTATTTAAATTCAACGTGGTAATATTGCTTAAGTTTCTTGCTAGTAATTAAGAAATTCCAAAAATAAAGTAAAAAATTCAAAGGACATGCATAGAGATATATTGCACCACATTAGCTGTCGAGTTCACCAATCTAGGCATATAAATTGGGAACATAATGATTATGGTCAATAGATGATTAATGAGTCTCAATATTAAATATATTTTATTATCAATTCAATTATCATAATGCGCTTTCAACTTATATCTCAATAATATTAATGTTAATTTTAATACTTTTTCTCTAAATTTGACTTTATATTAGATTATTTATCGTGTTTTTGTGAGTCATTTTCACTTATATAAAATAAATTTTCCTTTAATTCATAACATGTCGTATAATGTTCGACGAAATTAAGATAAAATGTATTTGAGAACAGATGATACCAAAGTCAAATATCCACGCTGAAAACAGGTCTAATGTACGATAAGGATTCTAGCTGAATTGAAGATCAGGCTACTGACCTACTGCACAAAGGAACAAGATCAGTCAAGGCGTGAATCAGCTTGGTCAACATCAAAGAAGTTCGGTTTACTTGAAACTAACTTATCTTACGGTGCAGGCAAGAACAAAAGAGGAACTGCATCATTTGATCTTATCCCGAGAATGAAGAATTTATTATGGAGTGTCATGTCATCGACTTATAGAATGTCACATCATATTTAAGATAATATAATTTTAAACGATTAAATATTATATACTAAATTCAATTAAATTAGGGGATTACTCCATCATTATTTGAGAATCACACTGCCATGTCTAAACAGGCAAACCCTTATTGCCAAAAAAATGTGCACAATCAATTATCCAAAGAGCTCTAATAATTTTTTTTCAAAAAATATAAATTAGAAGAAAAAAGAGTCTCTATTACAGTAGTTTGGTCTAGCTCTTCAACTTGATGAACCACTTATTAGGGGTGCAACTCGAATAGGTTGGACAGTCAACTCTAACTCAACCTTAGGTATATAATTTTCAACCCTAACTTTAACCCTAATCCTATCTCGGGTTGAGGGATTCAACCC